GCGGAGGACACGGTGAGAGACAGTCTGTCTGTCTGTAATGAATTAGCGTATAAATAAGAACAAAACCGGGTATGTCATGCGTATTTAAGCGCTGTGCTATCCATACGAACAGCTGTTTGTTAATTAGCGCTGTTGTGAAGGTTTATTCGAGTGTTTCTGAACTCTGGGCATTTGAGAGGTCTCATAGAAAACAAAACATTAGGCAAACGATCTCATTAACCAGACTGAAAGTGCCTCTCTGTTGTCCATCTGTCTGTGTTGTCTAATTCAGGATCCGCTGACTCGACTGAAGGACCTGGCTGAGCTCAAAGACCAACTGGAGGAGATCCAGAGGAAGGTGGAGAATGAGGTTCAAGCTGGAGTTCCTCCGGTACAACAGGAGCAGAACCACGACTGATCCGGATCGGTCCGGTCCCAACTATTACTAAAGAACGCACACATAAAGTGTGGTGCTATACTGATCATTAGTTTTGTTTTGTAATAAGATGGTCCCATTGATAAATGTAAAGTTAGCTGTATATGTTTATGTATAAAATCAGTTTATACTGAGGGTAATATTATATTTATTATTATTATTATGACCAGTGTTATTTTAGTAATAAGATACTTATAATTTTTATTAGTTTTTTAATATTTTCTAATTTAATTTTTAGTCTGTTTTTGGCATTTTTATTAGTTTTTTAATATTTTCTAATTAAATTTTTAGTCTGTTTTTGGCATTTTTATTAGTTTTTTAAATATTTTCTAATTTAATTTGTAGTCTGTTTTTGGCATTTTTATTAGTTTCTTTCCTTTACATCTATATAGTTTTATCAATATTTTTTAAGTAGTTTGCATTTTCATCTATTTATTTTTATTTGTATTTTATATTTTGTAAAAAAAAAAATTTTACTTTGTTGTGGGTTTTTGGCATTTTTATTTTATTTTTGTTTATAAAGGTATTTTTTAATTTTGTTTATATATGTTTTATTAAAGGTTTGTTCCAGTTTGTTTTATTTATTTATATAGTATTTATTATTTATGTTATTTTAGTACATCAGTATGAAGCAAATGAAAATGAAAATTGTTGCCTTTTGCCTAAAATACGTCTTTTTTTTTTTATTTCAGTTAAAGTTTAAGTAACAAATGTTTTTTCATGGTTTTAGTTAACTGTAATAATCCTAATTATGACAACAAAATTAAAATAATTATAACATATCTAAAGATGAACTTATTTTTTCCCGCAAATATTTTATTTTAGAAAAATATTTAGATGAAACAAATGAAGAAAATCTAAATTATATAAAATTGTTGCAGTTAATGCCATGATTTTTCTTTAGAAAGCAAAATAATTGTGATTGTTTTTTCATTTATTATTGTGATTATACTTTTAATCATATTAAAAATATAATTTTGTGAATAAAAAATACATAATATCTTATGTGCATTTTGTTAAAAAATAAATAAATTACCCAAATTGATCAAGGACCCTCTAACACCCCCTTGCCGTCCCAGGACCCCAGTATGAAAACTCCTGTCTTAGTGATTACAAGTAAAAATAAACAAAGGTTGTATTTTCTGAACATGTTGCACTTTATATACGTTAAGATTGACAGCTGAATGAAACTGTCTGCTCTGTTTGTGTCTGTTCTAAAAGGGTGGCTCACTATTAGCATCTCCTTTCTTGAAAGGATTCCTGGCCGGGTATGTGCTTTCCAGACTGCGTTCCTCAGTCATCCTGGGAGCGGCTTTGGGAACCTTGACAGGAATCTACGCCGCTCAGAACTATGAGGTGCCCAACATCGAGACAAGCCTACGAGACTTCCTGAACTCTCTGAAGAAAGGACCGAGTGATTAACAGTTCGTTAGCAACCCAGTTCAGACTGAAGAGGAAAACATGCATCATTCAGCGTCACTTCGGAGCTCCTTCCCTCCTGAACAAAACTGTTGAATTAGATAAAACTGTGGATTGAGGTCTATATGTGAGTGTGGATTTTGAACAGTTATGATAAAAAATGGGAATCATGTAGGGCTGCACAATTAATCCAAATCAAAATCACAATATAGTTTAATCCAATTGTAAAAGCTATCTAATGAAATAAATATATGCGATGCGTGTTTCATAGTGAAGCGTGGCACTGTGTTCAGTTACACGTCAGTTTAACACTAGAAAATTAAGAATTTAAGGCAAGACAAATATTAGTATTGTAATTTTCCTGTAATGTTATATTTTGTCTTTTTTTTTGTTATTTAGTTTTTTATATTATAGTGAAATTCTTGTTTAAGTATTAGTAATTAAAATAATTTCGTACAAATTGTCATTTACAGCTGTACTGCAAAATACATTTATTATATTGAAATATAATTTTTCTTGGATGCTTGTTTTTTATTTTACAGATAAATATTACAGTAGTAGTTTTTATTTTAATATTTGTATTTAGTAGTAATAACAATTTTGTAAAAATGTTAATTTCACAGCGGTACTGTCAAATTATTACACTGTATTATGATAATTGTTTAATATTACTAATATTATTTTAATATTTAATATTTTTTCTTGAATTCTCATTTTTTATTTTACAGTGAAATTACAATAGTAATATTTTTATTTCTTTTTATTTTATTTAGTAGTATAGTAACAATGTTGCTGCTATTATTTTATAATCATACGGATATATAATCACGAAATCTTTGGCCAAATTGTGCAGCAAAACAAACAAAAATTCCCCCAAATCGTGCAGCTCATGCATCATGCCCGTTTTGTTTAATACTGCACCGTTGAAGAATTGCATTTGTTTCAGTCTTTTGTGGAACTTCTTCCTGTACTTTCAGAAGCAGCCGTGGCTGACAGACGCTGAGCATGATTGTGATAGATAATGTTGGTTCGTCTGAAGCAGAACCTCCTCTCAGAAGACGCTGGCTTTGTCTCCTGCTTCTCCTGGTCCTTATTTACGGTTCCCACGCTCCTCTCATCTCCCTCACCATAGTTGACGGCCGCGTTCCCTTCAGCCCGTCGTCATGTGTGCTTCTGATCGAGTTCATCAAGCTCATGCTTTCCTTCGCGGCTCTGGTGGCATCTGGAAATCTATCCGGCCTCAAAATATCAGCGTGGACGGTGGCGCCGTACGCCGTTCCTGCGCTTCTCTACGCTTTCAACAACAACCTAGTGGTGTTCATGCAAGCCTACATGGATCCCAGCTCCTTCCAAGTGCTCAGTAACCTAAAAATCGCGTCCACCGCGCTCCTCTACACGGCCTGCTTGGGAAAGCGGCTGCGACTGGGGCAGTGGCTCGCTCTGGGGATGCTCGTGGCTGCCGGTGTTTGTCACAGCTACTCCGGTTTGGATTGGGAAGCGTCAGACGAATCCGCCGTCAGGCTCCGCATCACGTCCTGGGGTCTGCTGTTGGTGCTTGTCTACTGTTTCATCTCAGGTTTGGCCGCCGTTTACACCGAACGGGTGCTGAAAACCCAGCGTCTGCCTTTGAGTCTTCAGAACTTGTTCTTGTACGTCTTCGGCGTGGGAATCAATCTGGCGTCGCATCTCTCTGGCGGCGGGCAGCAGGGGTTTTTTGAGGGTTTCTCTGCCCTCGTTTGGCTCATTATCGCGGGACAGGCTGCTAACGGGCTCCTCATGTCTGTCATCATGAAACACGGAACGGGAATCACGCGGCTGTTCGTCATCTCCTCTTCTATGCTGGTGAATGGAGTGTTGTCATGGGGGATTCTGGGAATACAGCTCACACCTTACTTCCTGTTTCCTGTGGTGCTGATTGGATGGGCCGTGTACCTGTATTACAGGTAGATCGGACAGCACTGAAGATGACTTTATTGCTTTTTTATTACTCTTTATAAGTAGTGAAGCGCAGCGTTTCTCTGATGGTTTAGTGTCTGTCTCCTGCTGTTTATTTTCTCAGCATGTGCCCTCAGATATCTCTGTCTTCTGCCTTTGTCATCTTTCTAGAAGTGCGTCTTACTGTGAATGACCATCATCTCAAGACTGAATGTTTTTTTTTCATATGCAAAATAATTTTTTTAATTAAAATTAAATATTTTTTTATTAATTTTAAATATTTAAAAAATCTATGTTGAATAAATGGTACAGCACACATATTTAATGCTTATTTATGCAAATAAATATAATGGATCATTTTCAGTGGCCTGGTCAAGTGTTTTTAATAATGAGGTGTTTAGTATTTATTATACAGAAAAATGCTGTCTTTTTGTCAGTGTTTTATTTATATGCTATTATTCATATTTTTACATTTTCATTTTAGTTTAAGTTGTAGTCATTTTTTTAATGTGTTTTTGCCATTTTTATAATTTTGGTTTTCTGTTTATATTTCTATTTAGCTTTATTTTTATTTCTGTATTCGTAATTTTACTTTAACGTAAACTATTTTATTTCAGTTGCAATATTTCTGGGGGGG